CTCTTTCATTGGTTTAGCTCTCTGGCAGGAAATTTTTGATACAGCAAAATAATTTGTAAAGGAATGCAGCCCATCTGGTGGCTGTACCTATATCATTGGTTTCACCCCAAATCTCTGTCAATGCCAAATTTGGCTATGGTAACAATACTTCACTACCGCTGATTCAGCAAATCTGAATCTAATGTCTAAAAACTTAAATTCCATTTTGCACAGATGGCTTGTTCCATTTGTAGGCTTACTCTTACCAGGACTATTTCTTTGCCTCCTAACAATCCACCACAGTAATTCAATAGCCCTGAAAGTTCCCGTGTCTGTCAGGGCGAGAGGGCTGCTGCAGAACCATGTTGGTTGATCGCCAAGCATCAGGACTTAACAGGCAGATATCCAAACACGTGACTGTGTGTGTACCATAAAAGAATGTTGCTGCCTTTTACTTTGTGGCATTCTTTACGCTAGTGCAAACTCACACAAGCAAAAAACGTCCACGTGAGTGCTTATTTTACATGTGTGTGAGTGACCACAATGGTGAAAAGTAGGGGAGCATCAAACCCCTTCCATTTTTCAGGTATGCACAAGGGTTTAAAAAAACCTAGAAAAACTGATTAACGAAACAAGAAAAAAAGGAGGGGGGCGACAAGTACAGGAGGGCTATAAAACACAACAAACCAGAAACTGCAGGCCTCCTTCCAGCTACAGGTTTCCTATGTCCCAACAGAGGACCCAAAACCTTAGACTCAGCACACTTCTTATTTATATATTTGGGGGAAAGGGGGGAAACAAAGTTTTCTTCACAGAAAAGTTCCCCTTTTACTTGAACCATCATCTGCTGATCTAAAAGGCACCAGAAGGGAGGAAAAAAAAATGCTCTTTACAAACCTCGCTGAGAGAGATATGCCACAGAGGCCTCTGCCAGTACACAAGTTAATCCACCTGCACATACGTGTTTTAAAAATTACATGCACAGTTCAGGGGGCTTGGCTGTACAAAATTTGTCCAGAAGAATGCACGTGCAAAATTCTATGGATTTTTGATACTACCACTTGGATATTTCAGCCCTGAATGACTTAATGTACATGACACCCCCCAAACATGATGTTCTTTCAATGCCATGAGTTGATGGTGGTTTTCTGTTTTGGGTGCAGCAATGCTGAGCCTCTGGCCAGGTAACAGTAAGTGCTGGTTTGTTAACTCTGAAAAGCAGTATCAATGGTTATTTAAAATAATATTGCCCTATCTCAATCTATGGTCTTTTACTTGGCAATACCAATATTGTGTTCTACTTGTCCAGCCTTTGAAATACTGTGATACTTTTCAGCAAAATCACTGTTTTATAGGGAAAAAAACATCAGTGCTGAGATGGCCTCAAGATATAATTACTTCTAAAATTTATAACCTTTATGGAGACATGTCATTCTGCCTTTCTCCTTCCATTGGCAATTAGTATATTCAATGAAAGGGAAGAATCAAAAGGGATTTATTGACCTGTGGACTGTCATAACAGAGGAGTCACAAGTACATTCTACCTGTTGGGAACTGGGAGTCAAAATGTGGGCATATTCAATTTACAATGCCTCTATCACCAACACTACAAATATAGGGAAGAAACTCTTCTTATACCCACCTCTTTATCTCAACTAGACACAACTAAGTATGCTCACGTCCATAAATGTATCCTGGCTAATCTTGTATCTGGTACACAGATAACTTGTTTATAGAGAACTGGTAACGTTGTATAATGCATACAGGACAAGGCCGACAATTAGCGTGGTATCATCCTGCACGTGTTGCTTTACAGATGTCTCTGTTGGCTTGTATTTCCTGGGGTTCCTGTGCAGTCTCTCTCTTCCTAATGACTCCTACCAGTATTGACAAATGACTCTCCTTTACACTTTCTAGGATGGCAGTCTCATTATCTCTAACCACTGCAGGAGGGGAATGGTACATCTACTTAGATTCTCATTAGATCATCCCTGAGGAGCCCACTCTAATAATGAGGCTTAAGTGCTTCAGATGCTGCTGTAAAATCACCCACAATTTATGAAAGCAGTGCCAACATCTGTGGAACGTGCATGTGCACACAGGAAAGCAGAGCTGCTAGCCTGCCTGTACCTGCCTCCCAGGGCCTCATGGCTGGTCTGCTTGCAGCTTTCCATAAAAGTAGGGGCTGTGCATGCTCTGAATTTGGGTTCCTTGCTGTGCCTGCCCAGGAAAGTCTCTCTTACTGTCTCAGATATGCCATAACTAGTGTTAACTCCACAAAGCAACAAGAGCACTCCAGTTCATCAACACTGTAGGAAAAACTAGTTCCCGCACCCCTGGCATGAAGTTGAACATGTGTTTGTGTAGGTGGGTGAGGGATGTTAAGATAACAGAGTAAGTTCAATATAAAAATCAATCACTTGAGCACAGCAGCCTCAGAAGTGAAATTCAGAGGCTTTTTTTCTTTCATTCTGTTTGTTCCATCAGGTAGTTCCTATTTTCTATAGCTCGATTTGTTAAGCAGGTTCCCCTAGCAGTCAGGAATACAATTGCTTGCCTATACACAGCACAGTGTAATGCAGGTTCCTGCTGCCTTCTGAAGTGTTCACCGCTGGTCTCACTGTGTGATTCACAAGCTAAGTTCACAGAATCAGGCCAAAAAGCCCATATGCAACCAACACTGAGCCTTCTGTCAACTTGCAATTTAGTTGCTCTGCTTCTGAACAGACATAGGAAAAAGAGCTCACCAGCACCTGAAACCCTAAGCCCTACTCAGGATTTGTGAAACTATTATTCATCAGCTTATCCAGATGTGTAGCCCTTATTTCCCACACAGAACTGAAAGTCATGAAACAGCCAAAGCACGGCTATTTTCCAGAGCAGAGCTTTCAGCTGCCTCCAGAAAATCCTGAAAATAGTTATCACTCACAGAGAGCATTTGATTTCAGAGACCTGCCTCAGGGAAGGAAAGCAGGAAT